AGCAGAATGATGAATCGATAAACTCAAATTATGCCAATAACCTTAAATTAAAATTAATAAAACCAAATCAACGGTTCAATACTTTTAAATTTAATTTGAAACAAAGATACCCTTGTATCTATTCGTGTTATACTCATTTTTATATGCACTTTAGTATAATATACTATTTAGAAATATTAAATTATGCTTTATATATACCAATAAACATAACATAGCATGATTAAAATAAAAATACTTAACTATTTTTATATTCTTGAATATTATATTACTATATATGTAAATATTCTAATAAGAACTATATATTTCTCCTGTTTAAAATTAAACGCCTATTCAGTAAAAAAGATTAATCTTTTGGAATAATTAATTTTTTTTACAAATATTAATATAATATTGAAAATGGTTAAGAATATCAATTTATATAATTTATTGAAAGCTAAGTTTAGAAAATCAGATCAGTTAAATGAACAATTCCAATTGATATTAAATTCTTTTATATTTATTTTTTATTTTAAATATATACAATAATGTGGATTTGAGTATATTTGTTTTAATTGCATACTAAAACTCTTTATTCTGTTACCCGATATGCTCTATTACTAAGTTTCTATTACACAATAAACATTTTTATTTATTTTTACTGCATTATTATAAATACTTAATTTATGCCTTCGTTATAATTTTTGCAAAATTCAATTTACTTTTATATCAGGTCTTACAAGAGCCTGGTATTTATGAATATACAAATCCATTTATTGTATCTATTAGATGTAAGTTAAGTTGCGATTAAAATTTTTTATAAATAATTTATATGTGTAGTTAAATATCTTATGTAAGTAAATTCAGATGGGACAATTAAAGAGTCCATTTCCAGATGAGGCAAAGATTGTTTTTCTTCTCTAAGAAATAACTTCAGATAAAAGAGAGTATTTATGTGGCTAATATTTAATTAAAAAAATATTTTTTGCATGATAAACTTTAGTTAATTACGAACTATCTTAGTTGACGTAGACATAAAGAATTTAAATTGTATGACAAAATGATAAAAAAAAATAATATTGTTCTCCTATTATGACAAATCATAACTGTTCGAGATTGACGCAGTTTTCACGAATTTAAGAAAAAGTGGGTCATACGCGCTTAGACCGGGACGCGCACTCGGGCGAATGTTTAGAAACAAAACTCGGCAAGTCCGAGCAAGTCTTACGACATAAAATCTAATATACTATAAGATCACACAAAGGTATTACGTCCTACTTTTCTTTCGTCGAATTCTCGAAGGTTCTAGATTTTTCTTTCTACGCCTCGTGTATTAGTGCAACAACGACGATGCTTTGTTGCCAGCTAACTGAGCCGCCGCGTAGATACATAAGGCAAGCACGTGGCGCGCCTCGCCCTCTCTCGCTGAAAATCTCTCTTGCTGACAGCCTCTCTTACTGAACCACCCTCACCCAACTGCGCTTGCGGCTAACATCTTGCCGTGACCCGAACGCAGTGACCGACCATAGTGAACCGATTTAATCCTCTACCAATAGAAGCCATGGCACACGGGTCTCGATCTGCCCTTAGCAGGATCGCCATGGAACGGTCGGTATTTTCAGCAGAGCCGCCACGGAACGATCAAGCCAATTTATGTGAGAATTTATATATTGATCAAGACAATCAATTTATGTGGCCATAAATTCGGCAGCCTAGTAAATAATATACGTATATATATATATATTAAAATTATAATATACGTATATAATATACGTAATATATATATTAAAAGGAAATCGGCAGATTTAGTAGTGATTTACAGTGAAGCCAATTGGAATAGTAATTAAAGGGGACATCAATTACGCAGCAATTTACACTGTATGCAGCTCACAAGGTACACTTTTATATTAAAAAATAAGCTAGTCACATCACGCGCAAGAATAGTCGGGCAAACTTACGGTCTCTCTCTCGAACCAACGCTTCGACCCCGTACAGGCCCATAAGAGTCGACTCAAGCGACGCAATTCGTCAAGCACTTGTCAAGACCAGACAACAATATATTGAATAATTGATTACAATTACATTTCATTAAGTCCTTCAAGAGCATGAAGACTTATCATTATTACTCTTGTGTGTGACTAGTCTTTTTACTGCCCCAATAAATAATGAAAACATAATTGATTACTCAACAAGTTCCATTAAATATCTTACGCCATATCAAGTATAGTTATTCATACATCAAACATACTTGATTCAAACACCATCTTCTCATGCTACCTCACAAGCATGATTGATTGATTACATCAGCTGATATTTACAACATCAGCATTACCTCAACTTCAAATACTCAGTCATATCCATAGAATCTTCAATAATCAAGAATACAAGGAAACACCCTCATTTCTTCAATAGAATTATCTCTCTCTATACAACAGTGCAATATTATTATAATCATTTACAAATAATAAACCTTGTTTTACTAAAATACATAATATTTTTCAGCCCTGTCACTTTTTATTTCCTTTAAAGTTATCCTGACGAGAGACTAATTCACTGAACTATTGAATTGGTAGTTCGAGCCATAAACTAAGCCTTTAAAATCGATCAATTACAAATTATAATCTATCTTTTATACTTTGCATTACCTAAAAATAATGTAACCATAAAGTATCTTAACTGTGATTTATGATAAAAATGATAAGAATAATATTTATGATAAAACAATATACTTCTCTATAGAAATATTAATATTATGAAAAATTAATTAAAAAAATTATTTTATAGCTCATTTAAAATAATTATAAATATTACTACATTTATTATATAAGAAAATATTTCAAAATTAAAAATTGGTCTTAAAATTTTTAATAAAATTTTAGAGATCAGTTTGTTAAAGAATGGGAGACACATTGATCGTAGTAGATGCTCCCTTCTAATTTTATAAATAATATCATTGATAAATTTATTCTTGATGTTTTAAGAAATTACGTCTATTCTTTTTTTCTTTATTTTTTCTTTCCATTAATATATTTCCTGAATGATTCTTTTTCAAATTTCATATTTTAAATTAAGGAATTAAAAATATTGCATTCCGCATTGCAAAAATAAATTTATCATTTATTTTAATGTTTTCACCAATCAAATAACTGTCAGAACTTCTTGAAAGTTCTGTATAACGAATTTATTTTATATTAAAAAATAAATCTTTCTTTTAACCGTATTGAAAAATAAGTATAATATTGAAATATATTTTGTTTAAAAAAAAACATTTTAAAAGACAATTTTAATTTGTACGATTATTAATACGCAATACATACATTACATTAAATTATTGATGGTATTACGATCGAATTATTTTAATTATTTAAGAATTATTTTATTTTGAATTATTACTTAAGAACAATTACAAAATTATAATTTTTGAAATATAATATGCTTTAAAATTGTAAAATACAATATTCTTTTTTAATTGATTCTATGGAATTTTTTTGTAACTATTGCAATATATATTATCTTTTTAATACTTAAAAATGAAAATATTTTTTATATTCAATAATTAATAATTCAATTATAAATAATAATAAATATAAATTCAATAATAAATAATTCAATAATTTCAATAATTAATAAAAAAATATATGAACCTCTATTAAAACTATTTTTTTAACTACAGCTACTTAAGACTGCAGTAGGCTTTTGTTGCTTTTGCAGAGCTTTTATAATACCATATCTTTGTATATAGTAGATAATTATTTAATTAATTGTTGTTTATATATTTTTTAAATTATTCATCATATTTCTTTGGCTATAATTTTTCATTTTATAAGAATGTAATATATATTATAAATATTCTATCTACTTTTCTTCTTTCGATTATTTATTGAACAACAGTGACAGTCATTGGGAAGCGATAAATAAATAAAGTAATTAAATTCTAGCTCTGTATAGTTCAATTTAAAAGGAGCCGTCGTTCATACTATTCCAAGTGTTAGCATATACTTTTCTGACTTACCATCTTATCCGATATGAACATCTATTAAACAGCTATTATATCTGGATTGAAAATTCATAACTATTTTACATTTAATCATTTTATATTTTATTTGCATGCACAATTTAAAGTAAGGCTATTTTGAAAATATTTATTCAATAAATTTCATCTTATAAAAAATCCTTTATTATTTGATGAATGTATCTAAAAAAAACTTTAAATTACTTGCATTATTAATAGAATTTATAATTTCTTACTTTTAAAATTCAATATGCATCAATAGTTTTTAAATTAATTACTATTTATAATCTGTTACTAGTTACATTGCAAGTGATAGAAATACATAAAATACAATAAATTTTTCATTCTATATAAAAAAAAAAAATATATTTTAGTGTTATTCCATAATTAGATACGTTTTGTATTTTTAGTTAGTTTCCCTTAATTATATAAAAAATTCAATTTTTATATCCATATGTTTCCATATGTATTTTATGTTCATACTATTCATTGTTTGCTTTGTATTTTTTTTTTGCTTTGTATTATTTGTTTGCATTGTATTATTTGTTTGCATTGTATTGATCGTTATACACAATAACAAAAATTTTATTCTAAATTAAATCTTAGAAAATTATAACTAAAAATGCTTTAGATTATAATATCGTTTCATTTTTATATTACAAACACTTATAAATAAATTTATATTCTAAACAAGGCATATTTTTTTTATTTAAACAATTTCCAATTCTCAGAATATAGTATTGTCAAAAACCTAATAATGTATGAAAAAATGAAACTAATGAGTTACTGAAACTTTTTTATTACATACTTATGAATATTATATCTCGATCTAATTAAATTTTTCTAATAAGTTAATATAATTGATTATAAATAACTGCTGATAATTAATAAATCAATATTTATTCGATTAAAAGTTCTACACTAGTTAATATAGCATAAATATGAAATTAACTAAACTAATTTGGATAGCTTATTTCCATATAAAAAAATATATTTTCTTTCCTTAAGGTAATAGAACTCAAGTACGGCATCTCTCGTTAAAAGCACTTCTACCAGACACTAACGGGTATATGACTTATGAGGGTAGTACGACGCACCCAGGCTGTTGGGAAACAGCCGTATGGCTGATTCTTAACAAACCTATCTACATCACTGCACAGGAAGTACTGAATTTATTTATGTTAAATACAATTAAACTTTTAAATAGAGTCAATAGGATATAAACAATAAATTCATAAAAGAAAAATATAGAATTATATATCGTATATTGTATTAAAACTTATAATGTCATGAATTTATATTTTGATAATAGATTATCAATCTGAAATTATTAACAGGAATTAAAATAGATTATTTTAGAACATTATTATTAGATTTTATTATCATAAAAAATATAAAATAAAGTAATTAATGGCATAGAAAACCTATAACAATTTGAAAAATTATCGCTTTGATCTTGTTCATATATGATTAAAAAAAATAAATATTTTAGTCATCATATTAGTATTACATGAAATATATATTAGTTTATAGAACATAATATATTTTCTTATACCTAATTAATATTATGAATAAAATTTGCATTAAAATTGGTTAGAATATTTTTGATAACTGACTTTTATTACTCTTTGAATTATATAATTTTATCTTATTATTTTTGTAGTGTGAATATGAATTTAATTTATATAGTTTATTAATAATTTTATATTTTTCTCACATAATATTAATAATTAATAAAAAATTCTAGTACTAAATAAAAATGATCGATTGAGACTAACATACATAAAAATGTTTAAATACCACAATACCACAATACCACAAATATTAATGATTAACTTCATAAGCTTTTTTATGTAATTCTTGGGATGTACATATCTAAATTTATCACAGGTCTTAAATATAATTAATATTTAAAAACGAATACAGTAGTCTAAATATTTATGGCCGATTTAATGATTTAAATGAGTAAGAATTAAGAAAACGTGAATATAAATTACTCTTTAAGATATATTTATGTATAAAATATATTATTTTATTTTTGTAATAAAAATGAACTGAAAGAGAATAATTTTTTGCATAGAAAATATTTTCTATACTGTTTTAGTTAACATATTGTTTATCTATTTAGCTTTATGCTTTAAGAAGATTGATGCAAGGCACTATTGATGTTCCAAAAGCCCCACTAGGAAATAATTCTAGACCATTGCAAGAACTTCGCCATAGGACTATACGAACCAACATTGATTTTCGTAAGGTATATGTTAGTTAGGTGTCATATATCATTATAAGTTTTATAATATAATTAAATGTAATTAAAATAGACATCAGAATATCATTAAAAATTGAATTTATAGATATTATTTAATAAGATGTATGCTATTTTTTTATTAATTAGCAGCTGGGTGCTAAGTGTCCAACAATGACGACGAATATGCGATACAAAGGTAACATTTCTCTGTAAATGGTAACTACTAATCTATTACCAACTTTCATTGTATAAGATTTCTGATGAGAATTTAAATAGATTATTTATTCCGTAGCTAATAGATGGCGGGATGACAACCCATTAACTCATAATATCGTTTGAGAATCTATTCAGTTTGGTAGAACTTGTGACAATCGATGATTAAAATTTATATCATCGACACTTTCCATATATAAAGTTGCAGCAAATGAAAGGAAGAATAATGTGAGGCAAATACTTAGTTTGATTTTTCTTGAAATAGACCTTATTCGAAAAGAAATATAATAAACAGAACGAAAATATAATAAGAAAATAACATTCCATATAGATATAGCAAACTAAAAAATTATTTTAAAAAACAGAAAAAATGACAGTAGATGATCATTTTATAGCATTTTATAACTTCATAGTAAATTGCAGTTTCCTCTGAAAATCATTATTATATTACATTATCCATTCGGAATATATTACGGTAGATCGATAATCGTATTCCAATGATTAATTATAATTTTCGATGATTTATTAATTTATTACACTAGCTTTATTTAAAAATGACATACGATTGGACTATTATAAAATAAATAAGTACACGTGCATGTAATGAAAATAATTATTACAATTTACAAGACCCTATATCTAATCTACTAATGAGATTACAGAAAATTTATAATTTTATGTGTTTCATTTAAATATATAAACATCGGTTTTAATATCGCAGAATCGCTATTGACATTTGAAATTTCTCCTCTAGGAATTGATAGAAACAGCATATCAAAATCAAACTATGAGAATAGCATAATAAAGGAAGTAAATGTAACAGTAATATAAATTTACGTGTATTATATGATTTTGTACAAAATTAATAAAAGTATAAAATTTTAAAAGTATCCTTTTAAACAGTAATAACGGAAATACTGAAAATATAATAATTATAGAAAAAATAATTATTAATAATCCTATTATTTAAATAATAAGCTCCACTGTAAATTATTTTTTCAACCAAGAAATGTGTGTATGTGTGTGTGCATCGTATTTGCGTTAAATAACTCTGTTTTTTTGTCTTGTTACCAATCAAAATAAAAATGTTATAGATTTGCTTGATTTTTGTGAATTTAGCATAAGAAAAATATAAAATAAATTTGAGAAGTGTTACAGTAAAATATATGTGTTATTTAAAGTAAACATGCAGATAACTTATTAAATAGCCCCATGCTTTTGTATATATTGTACTAAAAAAAACAGATAAATATATAAAAAAAACCTAAACTGTATGATATTATTAAAAAGAAAAAAATTACAAAAAATTATATAATGATATATTGTAATTCTTTTCATACTTATTTTCAATTTCTTTATTATTATTTGACTAATTCTAAGGTAAGTTTTATACAAAAAATATTAATGAAAATTATAATGTGAAAGACAAAAAACAATCACCATGGTTAAAATCTAATTATTTTGATTCACTACAATAATACATTTTAATAATTTTGTATATGAAAGTAGGAAAAAATGATAATTAATTATTGAAATAATGCTTTAATTAACATTCTTCATACCTTTGTTAGTTACATTTATTTATGTTTTTATTTTTAAATACCTGACAATTATTGTATTAAAAGATTCGAAGCATGAACAATGTTTTATAATATATTTTAATACGTAAATATAATATGAAAGTCTCCTTATTTGAATATTTTCAAATATTTTATTATAATATTTTATATATTATATACTTTATGTATATAGATATTTTTTATTAACATAATTCTTATGTTAAAAGCTAGACTATTCTTCAAGTAAGAAGTGCAAATTGGTGCATTGTTTTATATATAAAATCAGGTAAACCAGCGGTTCAAGTAACATCATTTAGTATTCAAATTAATTCAATAGTAAACTTGAAATTGTAATAAAAAATGAAATAATACTAACACACTCTTTTAGACATATTATTATTTATAATTGAGATATTATTATTGACATTTTTGTTGATTTAGAAACATCTAGAGACTATCTAGAATTTATTAGTTTTGCCCCTAGTATTATAACAAAAATATTTTTAGTGTTTTGATGGTAAGAAAATTAGCATTAATTTAAAATTTATGTTTTAAATATTAAAAAATAGCTAGAAATATAATAAAATTTTATATTTTTTATTATATTATTAATTTTTTTAATTAAAAATATTATAAATGTTAATCAATAAACAGATCTTCATTTAATTAATTATAATTTATTATTGTAAGGTTACCTTTTAATGCGATTATAAGATATTATAATATTATATATTTTAAAGAAAAAGTGATAAAAAGTATATAATTTCATACTATTAAAACATGTATTTAAATATTTTAATAGTATATATAAATGTATATCACTTCATTCTTAGTAACTTATTTCTGAATAAATGTTGTTACTTCATTATTCCTTGTATGTAAAATTATTGATCATTTTTTATAACTATATAAGTATTTTATAATTCTTTAAAGAGCTAATACATAACTTAAGCTTAATATTTATAAACTAATAGTTTGCATTCGAAATCATAAATAAAATTAATTACTTGTATTAAATATAACTTAAATATAACAGCGAAAAAACATCTTATTAAAAAATTCTAAAATACACAAGCAGAAATACAGCATGTTGTAAAGAAAAAAATTAATAATACAGGAGTTCTTATATTAACAAAATACTAATAAGCGATCATTGATAGGTTGTAAATTGATCTCATTTTGAGTATAAGTCCTCAGTTGAGGAGTTTCAAACTTTTGTTTCCAATAGTATAAGAAAGATACTTTGTTTGATCTTTTTGTAATTACTTGAAAATAAATGAAATCAATTATTTCGATTAATTTGGAAACATACAAGCTTCCCAAAATGTTTAAAAAATAAAAGTTAGAAATTGATATGCAGTATTAATATTAAAGAAACAAAATTGTTTTAACAGGCACGCATATCTGCATATCTGCATTACTATACAGACATACCTTTAAATTTTCCAGGTTCAGTGCCAGCTTCTATACCCTCTTTCGCTACTAGGTGATACTATGATGGACTACGGTGAACTACTAAAATCTATCCACGTTATCATTAAACGTTAATGGATATCAGCATTGGTTATTAATATTCTTCAGATTAACAAGTTTACCTTCACATGCAAATTAGCTTTTCTTACTACAGTAATAACATTATTTTTTTAGTCTATCATTGACTGTATTTAATATATTGACATTATTTACACAAATACATTTTTAATTACATATTTGCATACTGCATGCAATAGATCATGCTATTTTCATCTTTACAAAATTTATAAAGTGAGTAAAATAATTATATTATAAATATAACTTCCTATCTTCTGTATATTATAATATGGTATATACGATAGCATGTCACCATTGATTATAAATTGCAATAATCATTTTCCAGTCACAACAAAAATTACTGTTGTAAAGATATTCCCGCTATACATTGCTCTCAATAATTCGACTATTTTCTCTTAATAGATATTAGTATTAAGAGTCGAATTGTCGAATACCTCGACAACATGAGTGACAACAATAATGCAATATATCTGGTCTTGTGTTATTTAATGCACGGCTACTTAAGATATTTGAAATCAATATAGAATAATTAATAAGAGATATGCCAATTTAACAAAAAAATTAGATCCGAGGCGATTTAGGTCCTCCACCGTTTAAGTAGAAGCTTTAAAATAAATTAAATTGTGATATAAGTAAAAAAAGAAAAATTTTTTAGTTTTTCTAAATTTCTTTTACTTTATTTTAATATATAAAAATATTTTATAAACAATTGAATGCTTATACACAATTAAATTTAATAATAAACTTATAATAACATAGATTATAGACGCAATAAATAACAATGATTAATTTGGATTCAAGTGAAAAATTTTATAAAACATAATTTATTTCTGTTAGCATATAATATGTTATACGTAAATTGTTTGTAATACAGGTAATTAATTATTTAATCTAAACATTTAAAATAATACATATTTCATGTTTTTCAATTTATAAAATTTCTTATTTTTACAAAGTTTAACAATATATTTATATATTTTTTTATTATATCTTAATTTTACTTTGTAATTTTCTATATTTTTATTTATTATTTTATATTACTATTCACTTTCCACTAATTTGATCTTCTTAGTTTCAATTTCACTTTACATTTACATTTTCATAGTAATACTTTCAATACAATTTCAATCGTTTTTTTCTTTTTTCATACCATCTACTGATTTTCGTGCTTAATTAATTTCTATGTTTAAATAGTTTTAATTCTTTGAGTTTTTTCTACTGAACTAAAAATTTTTGTTTTTCCTATTTATATGATATTTTTATGTCTCATTGTATTTAAATTCTTTTCTTTTCACTATTCTTTTCTCCCATTAAAATATATATCATTAGTTTTAATTTTCATATTTTTAAATAGAATATATTACATATATTTAATAAATAATATATTAAAAATGCTGCTACTGAAAACTATTTTTTATATTTTTAAAGTCTTACTATGATTTTATAAACCTTATTTATATTTTGTCGAATATTTTATTGATTTAATGCATTCGAAAATTATATAAAAAAGCTCTTTTTCATCTTTATACAAAACAAGTATCCTAGTAATAATTAATCTATTTCAACATTTAAGAACACTTAAATAGTAGCTTAGGTGTATTTTATAAATTATTGTTATTTCCCTCATTGAAAATATCAATTACTAAGTCAATTACAATACAGTTTAAAATTGGTTTCTATATATTCTTTTTTATACTAAAAGTACAAAAAATAATATATGTATTAAAAAATATATACTTTTATATTATTAATATTTTTCAAATACCTTCGATTTCTTTTCTTCTCTTCAATTCCTTCCATTTATAGTACTTCAATGTTATTATCTATTTATTGCTCAAAATACCTGCTAGAAATATAAACATATATTAATCATTTAAAATATTATAATAAACTTAAATATACAAGTAATATAATTAAATATAAAATAGGTTGTATTTGGGTATTGCTCTATTTTTAGTATATAACCTTTCGTATTATATGTTCCTTGAGTCCCTTAATATATTGTTTATTATTTTATTATTTTTATACTAATTTTTAATTCGCTAATAAGCTATATCATCTACGTATATTATTCTAATCTATATATATATATATATATATATATATATAGAGAGAGAGAGAGAGAGAGAGTAAATAGGACGAAGGGAGAGAAAGAGAAAAACAGAGAGTAATAAATACATATAAATGATCAAATTTCAATAACATATGATATTAATAAATTTTATAAGTTCTAAACAGTATGTGTCTAACTTATCAAAAATTCTCACGCTAGTTTAATAAAATTATAATAATGATCAATTATTTTATTAATTACAATGTTTCATTTCCTTTATTAGAATTCTAAATTTTATATTTGCATTTGATTCTTGTTTTGTACCTACATTTTTTATTTAACAAATAATAAACATGTGAAGTATTTAAAAGTGTAAGTAGGAAAAGTATATATCAACAAAACTCACAATAAAATTAACTCAATATTTACAATTTTAAAATAGTAATTGTGAGATTTTTAAAGCGCGGAGGTAAAACAGTTAATATAATAATTTTTTCATTCAGCCTTGTACAAATTAAAAATACGATTTTTATTTAAAATAATATTACTGATTAATCAAAGAACTGTTTTAATTTTTCTTATAGCATTCAATCTGATGATTCATAAATAATTAAGTTTGAAATATAATTTGCCCATCTTAAAAAAATAAAACATATACTAAACAA